GATTTAGATAACACAAAATTGAAAATTAATAATACATACAAATTTCCAAAATGATATTGATTTTACTTTTTTTTGTTTAAAAAATAACTTTTTAGTTGAACCATCTATTATGGCCTGGCTCACATGCCCGCAACAAAAACAGGGAGGACACGGCAACCAGGAACATCTTTAGCCCTTCAGAGGCATTTGTTAAAGTCACGAATGAGCGATAGGAAGCCCAAGATGTTCTTCCAGCAACTGCTCCCTCCTCCTGGTCCTCTCTCAGCTTGATTCTTGCCGACTGCTTCTGGACCTCTGGATCCAACTAACCCAGGACTCTGTTGTGGTCCCCTGGATCAACCCTGGTCCTCTCTAGTCCTCCCTGAAGCCACTGGTGCGCTGTGCCTTGGACACTCCTGGCACATCAATGACGACTGGTACCACGGTGACAACGCCTCAAGAATGAACGACACTCCTTAACTACCATCTAGTTGGCCACGTAATCAGAAGAACCTCCCACAATCAAGGACCTGCATTGATAAACAATTACCATTGCCACCTTGCCTCACAGCAGGGCAGTCACTGTCCCAGACAAATTAACATACCTGTCAACAGGGGCAGAAGTCTGATTTAACATTACAGAAAACATCTGACTGCACTGACAACCACAAACTGTTGCTCAACAAAATTTGAGTTCAGGAGTTTCATCAGGTTCGTTCGTTCGTTTTCTTTCTTTCTTTCTTTTCTGCAAAGGTCTGTTGAATTCAGACATTTTCATCTGAATTTTTTTGCCTTTTAAAATAGATTTTTGGGGGCCTTTATAGCTTAAAGATTCTGCATAATTTGACCAAAGTTATCAAAATCATTCTTTGAAATATTAATGATTGCTGGACTATGTGGGCGTGACAGTGGCAAATTTCCATATCTTTCCATTTCAACAGGTTTGACTGTAAAACACACATGCATAATCTGATTCGCTTCACTGAATAGTAGTGATTCAGTGCACTATGAAGTGCTCTATTAGATTGCAGTGAAGTTTGGCTCAACTGTGTTCCCATAGAAATATAAAAAGCCATATCCGTGTGCGTCTTCATCATTTTTGTTAATTTTATATGCCTACTCATGGACAGCAGTTCAATAAATTAGCATTGTCATTTGGTGAAATCATTTTAGCTCTGCCCACTAATAGCAAGAAGTAGACACACCTCCAGTCAAATCTAGGCATGAAAGTGACGATCCACAGCTTTCAAGATCGCCATAAGCCAGTAAATTGTAGTTACGACAATACAGAAAGTTTATTTTTGGCAAACATAATTAATTTAAATCAAATTTCTCGATAAACTGAAATTTCCTATGACAAAACCTTCATCATGATAGTAATGATCAATTTTCTAAGTTTAATTCTAATCCTTGTTCTTAATACTGAAAAAAATACTTAAAGTTCAACCTCATTTAGTCACCTCGCCTGACTCATTAAGACCCAAGACTTGTGATTGGTAACTAAGAGTTCCTCTCTCAGAGGGGGAAGCCAGTCCATCTGTTCTACAGGCAGCATGGCTACTCCAAGGCTTAACCCGGACGTGCCGTAAACTCATTGACACGGTGTCTTTATTCTGTTGCTCCAATCAGCCACTATATCAAAGCTTTTGCCGAGCCATTCCCTCAGCGGGTATTAACAGCTAGCAGTTTCCTACCCAGACTTTTCCTGCTACTCGCAACACATGTATCACAACCTAAAGAAACCCAGATACTGGGATGTTCTGGGCTATTGGATTCCTCTTCAGAGTTTGCCTCCTTCAGGAACATCTCTGGTGAATTAAATGCCCTTACATCTTTAAAGCAGCATTTTTTCTTATCAGAGGCCAGGTTGTATATCCCCCCCATGCCTCCTCTCTGTCTGCGCCTCCTCTGCTCAACTCATTAATTTTTTTTTATTCATCTTTGCAAAAGCTTCACAAAATCCCAGTGCACATCCTTTGATTACTTCATTTCTTTATAGCCTTTCTCGAGGTGTACAAGTTTATACGACACCTCAGTCTTTTGGACCCCTTACGAGTCACAGTAATCTGCTCTGCTTATACAAATCAGCCTACTGTTTCAGGAGTTCCTCTTCTATTGTTTTTAAAAAGTGTAATATTTCTTGCTTTCCGCCCCATTCTCAAATATGTTTTCTCACTGCAATAACTCTTACAGCTTACATCAGTTTTTTCCTGCTACTGCGCTCCTGTTTGCTGTGTCCTTTCCCTTAAATCAGGTTCATATAACATGATATAAGGTTTTCTTTAGAGCCATTCTTATAATCGGGACCTCTTGGAAGGGGAAGATTTGGGCAAAAGTCAGCACGATTATCATATTAAGAAGGCATCACTTGACTCTAGAATCCATTATTTTGATTGCTTTCTTCAATGTCCTACAATGCTTAGAGTTCACCTTATTTTAGTCTGGGCTTAACCATTCTATCTGTCTTTGCCTATCAGATATCTCAATTTTTTTACAAAACCAACTCATCTTCACACTCTAGATAAGAAAGGATGTAATAGCAAGATGAAACAAGGTTACTTTTATGCACATAAAATTTTTATTTTGGCACAGTAGATTAAATAATTTAAATCCTCACGTTTATATAAAGTTATTTATATAAACCTTATTTATATTTCCCCTAATACTTTTGATTATCTGTTGAATTGCACAAGATATGTGTCACATTAGAGGTGGATTTACAACGTTTCTTAAGTCACCAAAACCCTTGCAATCTGCATTATCTGTGGTTTGAAAAGAGTTTTCATTTGGGGGATGGTTCAGATCAAAGAGGGACAAACGTCACATTTATAAACTAAAAAAAGGAGAACACAGTCCAAGCTTTTACTTAAAGCCCTTCAGCAAAGTGTTAATGTAGCAGTTTAAAATGGGGATCACCGGGTATCTAATGATGTCTCGTGGATTTAACACTACAGAATCCCCCAAGCTGCACATATGGAGTTAGAATATCTCAAGTACCATAGGGACCAACATTCATTTCACTAAAGTGGCAAAACAAAATAAAAATATGAGAGTTTCCCAGGCTTGATGGTTCATACATACACAGAGCAACCAACACCCCCACTGCTATTATCTATCCACAACTTCAAGCACCCACTCACTTTACACTGAGCCTAAACTGCTTCCTACAGTCGTCCTGTGATGTGGCTGCAATCGGAAGCTGGTAAGTTTGGTTGCTTGCATGGTTTATATAATTTCTTATGTTGTGCATAACTGTATCCAAATATCACAAAAGAATAGGAATATACTCATTACAATTACTCATTACTCATTATGTTGAAGCAGACATATGGCACAGCTTGATGTAAATTAGTTGATGAGTGATAAATGATGAGTGGAGATTGAGTAGGAAGTCTGATATGCGGAAATAGCATATGAAAAGCCTTGTATTCTGTTTTTTTTTCTGAATAATGCATTTTCAAGGCTCTAGCATAACTGTTAGGTGTCATGATCTCAGCACCGATGCTGGTCTGATTCCTCAACAGACATACCTGCTCAGTTCTGCCCCATTACTACTCATCTGATCCACCTGCACCTATCAGTATATAACCAGCCTTCAGACCAAACATCAGTGCCAGATTATTTGGAGTCATTGGTGAGATCTATATAGTATGATTATAATGTTAAAGAACTTTCCCTGCAACATGCGATGACTTTGAATCTCTTAGTGAGGCAAGCAGGTGTACACTGTCAAAAGCTTTCACATTATCCTAAATCAGTTTGATTTCTTTTAAATGTGGGAAATTAAAAAAGAGAAGAGATTTAAGAAAACATATTTTTCTTTTCTGTAACTAAATCATAAATCACATATCAATGAGCCCATTAAGTAATTGAACCCTGGTTCTTTATAAGAAAAGCAATCCATGTTAAATTTAGTTTTCAGGAATATATCAGTATGTCTCTAATTTGTGTGAATGTGGTGTGAAATAAGCGGTGATATGCAAATCAGGTATAAATCAATACTTTAAACCTTCTAAACGTGTCATACCCGACCCCCTCAGTGTGTTTTAACTATCAACAGGGCAGGCTTTAGGAGGCACAGCTTATGTCATTTTTTTTTTTTTTTTTTTTGCACACTAGGCCAAAGTCTGGCATGTTTTTTGGAGCCCTTCTAAAAGGAACCAACACCTCTATTAAATTAATGATTCTAACAGAAGTTATTGAATTGACTCCAAAGGATTATAAAAAATATATTTTTTTTGACACAAGAATTATTCTGGGATGTTCTGATGTAAATCTGATTTTTAAAAAATATATATCACATAATTTTACTGAGATGCACCACCTATTAATGCATGCTAATTAGGCCACTAGTTGTGTCTAAAAGGGAATTGTGCTTCACTGAGCTACATTAGTAAAAACACAGACACCTGGGGGATGAACAAACACAAAGGCTGTTAATCAAACGCAATAAGCCACTTCTCTCCATCACAACCACCACAACAACATAGCATCTTATTTCCCCTGAAGCAGTCAGAGCTAAAGCTTACAGCCAGAATGTGCAAGGAGGTGTATATGTGTGTAAGGGGATCATTGCATCCTTCAGTGCTCTCTGCCTACCTTCACTGAGGAAAGGTAAATAAACCATTTTAAATAGATAATACCTATTTATGTTTGAGAAAAACTATATCCGGATAAAGTATTGATCTGT